ACTTTTTGATTTTTTACTCGTTTTGCTTCCGAATGGTACTCTTGTATTTGAGCGATTTTTCGATTTTCTAATTTTGATGGCAAATGGTCCAGAATGTCATGAAATATTGTCACGAAAAAAAATCCGGAGATTATTTCCCTCGCTCAATTATTATGTATGAAAATTGAATGGAGCCTCTGATGGCCCTGCGGCTTAAAAGCAGAAATTAGAGGTTGTGTGTTGTGACAACGTATGCCAAATTCCCAAGATACGACTGTAAATGACCCAGACAATGTCTCCAACGGAACCTGGTCCGGAGGAGTATCCCCGAACTCAGGGGTCAAGAACCCCTTAAATATGTTTTATTATCATGTACGACAATGAGTGGAGTTTCTTGTGACTCAAAGAAGCTAAAGCTTATTAAGCCTATTGCTCGATTGTGATGAAGTGCCATCCGATTGTAAAATTGCACAAAATATGTCACCTCAGAACTTTTGAGTTCCCCAAGAAATACTAACCTCTTAATTATCCCTCCAATTTACAAGCAATTAGAAATGACCTGATTGCGTCCTCTCGGTCCGGAGGAACGAGTTCCAAAAGAAAATAACATGTAGTAATACTTTCCTGAGAACTTTTCGCCTTCCTGACACACGTAGTGCAATGCACACCCTTACCTATGTGTCGTCAGGTGTGCTCGTGCTATATGCGACGCAATTACTTCATTTTAGGGACTAGGGAATAGTTCAGTAAAAATAATAGAGTAAACGACTCGAATAACCAGAGAATCCTGTATTCTATAAACTGATATGAAATGAGTAAAGAAAATTAATATCAATCCAAAAGAAGTGGGTCGTCGCCCAAAATAATAACTAATATAACAATATTGAAAGCGAAATAATACTTCTGTTCAATCTCAAAACTCTGAGAGTAAGGTGAATGCAAAATAAGACAAACAAAAAAGAACTTTTTCCGGAGAATTCCGGTCCGCCAGACTCGACATAATCCAAAATAATTAGTACTGAAAATTAATAAATGATTTGCTGTTCGGAGGGCAACGGAGAGGCTGGGTTATTATTTTATTAATTTTTACGGATGGCAAATGTACCCAACGTCGGTCGTGAGACCCCACGCGGGCTTTCACAAGCCCTCTTGCTCGCGATACTGACCGAGATATATTTTTCCTCTCCTTCGCAACCTCAGAGAACAAAACAAAATGCGCAAAGAATAATATTAATAATATTTAACAATCCTAGTAATTTCTAATATTACTATTCCCCTCCGTAACTAACTCTCTAATTTCCCAGAGTCCGACTAGAATATTTTAAAGCCCCTCGGGTTACACCAGGATTACGGAAAACTAGTTGAACGGATTAAGATGGCGGATCCACGTTTCCCCTCTGAGGGTGACCGATAGACCCACAGCTTCCGTATCCCAAACCCAAGCAAATCCCTCGGAGTCACGCGCGAGAATTCGACGGAATGAGTATTTCAATGATACGCGAGTCACACCGAAAGGATCGATAGATATAATATTTGTGGACTTACAACGACGTTGAGTCCTGGCCTACCAGTTGATCCTACCCGTGGTGCGGTTCGGCGCCCTCCCGGTGTCTGTGCGTTTTCTCGGAATACTCCTCCACGTACCTCCAGATCTCCAAAATTTGTTCTCAGTAAATTCGCCTCAAAGTTATCTGCACGATGCGATGTATGGATACGTCCTCGATCTGCTACAAGATCACGTGAAGACACAAAAATGAGACCCACACAATATTAAGGCACGTGATAATGGCGGTGGTTGAGAACGAAGTGAAGACGTACTGACGTACTTCCGGAGGTCGGTTTCACTGCAACCAATCAGGAAATTCCGTTGCGGTTGACTCCCCCAGTGGCGCCGTTACAAGCCCTTGAGATTGACCTTCGGTGTTTGAATGTCAGCCAATTGGATAATTTGTTGGTCGTGGCAGCCCCAGAGTGTCCGTATGGTGGTGCCCTCAGTTCTTCTTTTTCGGAGTCATTTCAGCTCTGGCGGATGACGTATTTCCGGAGTCAGTCTCCTTCCACTGGGTATCCCAAGTTCACGTTCGGGGCTATCCGTAAGGTGCCCCCCCCCTGGGGTAGGATGGGGTTCTCTATTCTCACGTAGTCGAAGGCTGGTGGTTATGGCGGTTTGTTTTGCGGTGTTTGGAGGATGAGGGGTTGGTGCCAAGTTTGCCAGACTTCAAACGTCAGAATGTACGAAATGACCTACTAGAAAATTCCCTACGTTATGAGTTCTCGATTTTCGAATGGGTTCAAATTCATCAATGCTCGACTGGGTGATGTTTCGACACTTATAAATATTCTACATAGTGTTTCTCATACTTATTCAAGTAACAGATAGATCGATTGACCGAATTGATAGATGATAGAAAATATATTTTGCCAAATGGAAATATTCCAGAATATGTGAATGTTCAACAATTTATTCATACGAATTTGAATAGTCCAGATACGATAGAATCACCGATGAACGACTGGTCCGATGGTTCAGAAAATTAGGAAAATTAGAAAATATCTTTGACCGCCAAGAGATTTTTTATATTTTCATTTCATCCAAAAAAGTAAGCATCCGAATATCGATATGCGGAAATGTGTGTTCCACCGTAAGGGAGATGGCACGATTGTTCGATACGTCCGAATGTGGATTTGTTCGACAGTATTGTAGGTAACGCTGTCGGTAAAGTAGAAATCATATATACTCTATAAAGAATGAATAATTACATAAATGAATATTAGTTTCTGAACTGTAAAATGGCGGTCCTAAACTATCTCAAATGATTCTCGAACGATAGAAATTGGTTTTATCCGGAAATTAATTATTTCCCTGTGTTCTAATATGATTTCAACTTTAACTCCAGTGTACCTACAATACTGTCGGACGAATCTACATTCGGGTGTAGCGAGCAATCGCACCATCACCCTTTCGGTGGAAAACAAATTTCCGCATAAGGATATTCGGAAACTTACTTTTTGTAGATGAAATAAAAAAATAAAAAAAATCTCTTAGCGGTCAAAAATATTTTCTAATTTTCTCAACCATCGGACAAGTCGTTCATCGGTAATTCTATCGTATATGAAATATTTAAATTCATATGAATGAATAGTTGAACATTCACATATTCTGGACTATTTCTACAGGGGAAAATATATTTTCTATCATTCATCGTCTCGGTCAATTGATTTATCTGCTACTCAAATAAGTATGATAAAAACTGTGTAGTATATCAATAATTGCGGACAAATCACCCAATCGAGGATTGATAAATTCTAGCTATTTTGAAAATCGAACATTTAGAGTGTACGGCATTTTGTTAGTCGGTCATTTCGTACATTCTGACGTTTGAAGTTTGGCAAACATGGCCCCAACCCAGGATGAGGTATCTCTAAAATCTCTCCGGAGGCTGGGAGGTTCTCCAGGTGTGCAGTTCTTCTCCAGCCGTAGAATCCAGTCCCTCGGCGGTCGAGATCCGTGGGCCAGGTCCTCCAGGTGCTCTGCGGCCTAGTAATCAAATCTAACCTCTACCTGTCCTTGGTGCATCCCGAATCCACCGCAGAAAGACGATTATGTCCGTTATTCAGGTATTTATTATGGCTAAACCCCCAGCACACCCATCGATACAAAAAACGACACTCTTCGTCGCAACATAAAGAAATGATGTTTTAGGGTCATGTCTGTATGTATGTGTAATGAATTTGGTTTTTGGTCATAAATTTTTAGAAAATTCACTATAAAAACGGTGAAATTTGTCGATAAAAGTCTCAAATTTTGGCTGATGGTAGCTATAATTAAGCTTCACTTTGGTGCGCAGTTTCAGCCCGATCGGTCGAGTAGATCTTGAGATATAACAACTTCTTTAAATTTCGTTTTTCCTCAATATCTCAAAATCTAGTACATCGGTTTCAATTCTTTTTTCAAAATACTCATCTCGATGGCCTCTATCTACATCGATCAAAACATATATATACCCTTTTAGAGAAAATTTGAAGATATTGCTGTTTCTCCATTTTTTCATGAGAAATTTTGTTGACATGATAACTTAATAAAAAATGGAGATAGCGAATTGAAATCGTGTATGCTTCTGGGTTTTATAACATAAAAGGTTGCTGTTGTGGATGGGCGTGATCGGCCGAGCGGTTCTTGAGATATTCAACCTTTTGTGTAAATATATTTCTTCAAATATGTCGTGAACTACTGGACGGACTTCAATTTTTTTTTTCAAAATGTTTGTCTCGGTGACAACTATGTAGATCGATCAAAATATATGAGATATTCCATGTCAAATCGAGCAGTCGTTGACCCTGACATCTTCAAAAATAGGCGGCGATTTTTTTGGTGATGAAGGTACATGAAAAACCATCTCGTGAATTTTTTCAGAGTTTTTAAATCATCCAGCACACAGATATAATTTTTTTAACTTTTTTCGGTTTTTATAGCATAACTGCCATAGTATTTAACCGATTTCAATAAGTAAAAAAAAATAATCTTCGTCTCTTCATGGCCTTATGTGATATATTTTTTTCATATTTTTCCTTCCGCTTTTTGATGCCTTAAACGTCAAAATTCTGAAAAAATAAGGAAAAACCTGAAATTTCGCTAAATATGACACGTTTTATTTTTTTGAGAAAATTCACAAAGATTTTGAATCTAAAAACGAATTTTTTGAGCGCTACCCAATAGTGGTAATCAGTCTGGATCTATTTTATTTTGATTTTTTTCAGTATTCATTTTTTCATTTCTCAATTCATGGTGACATTGAATGTTCCAAAAGCTTATATCATAAAATACTTGCAATGTTTGTGGAAAATGAAATCACCATCGAAGACTTCTCGAGTTGTTTGTGGGTTGTTATTGTTTCTTCTTTTGCTGTTTTTTTTTTTGGTTGTTTCCCTGTTTCGAGTTGATTCTGGATTGGTCTTTCTCGGTCTTCCACTTTTCTTGAGTTTTTCTTCTGTTTTGAGAATATTTAGGAGTGTACATTTACTCAAATTGGAGAATCTTCTGGCTACAACTTTACCATTCTCCAGGGGTATGACACAGTGGATCTTCTGTGTTGATGGTAAGAGCTTTGCTTCGTTAAATCGACCTGCAAGGAAATCCAATGCTGCTTGATAATCTTCTGCAGGGCTGTATCACACAAGAATATCTGGTAGATGTGATGGATCACTCACGGTTGAGTACCCATGAGTGCAGTTCTTCAGCTGTAGTTATTTTACGATCTGGCGGTAATTGTAAACTAGCCCTAGCACCTTGCCTCTTCACTGTGCCTCCAACACCGTCACAGGGGCCCTTCCCATGGGCTGAAGCAAAATAATGCCATTCAGCTGGTACCTCGAAATTGTGTTCATGGTTATAGATATTGATCAGATTCTTGTAGTTCTTGTATTATTGAGGTGCTCCATCCGAGAAATAGAAAACTTTTTCAGGAGACACGTAAATGGATTTGATGAACTTATTTATGACTTTCGAGAAAACAAAAACAGCTACTGCATCATGTACTAAGCAATCAGACATTATAACAAGGCTCTTGTGCACAATACAATCATTTTCTCGGTCATAAATGACAACGGGATAAATTGTGACTGAATTGTTATTCCAGTGAAAACCCGGAGCAGCGTTCTGAATAACGAAAGCATAATTCTCCGCGAAGTCACATACCACGAGGAATTGTCCAGTTTGAAGTGATTTTTTCGATGATTTTAGGAAAGCAGCCTGTTCTTTAGCAATAAAATCATGAACCACCTGATTTTCTAACTGCTCACAAAGATCTTGGGCGAATTCAATGGTATCTTGAATACATGTTGTGAGAGTCGTTCGGGGATTTGATATCTATTGCTTGTAAGTAACAGTGTCGATGTCGTGATCTTGCAACGCTTCAACGATGTAATTACACAGCATAGCACCACGTGGAGATTCTTGACAACTACCGAGATAGAACCCCTCTGATCGTTCTTTGCAAATCATCCCGTCCAAGAAATCAGAATCATCTTTCAAAGAATATTCCATGTCCTTTGTTAGAGTCTTCAGATTACTTCCTGCAGAAACATGATGAAAATTTCCAAGATATAATCAATCGAACCCTTATGAATCGCTCGATCAATTCCTCATGGGAATTTTAGGGATATTAAATGGATAGAAAGCAACAATGAAATTATAACAGTATAAGGAATAAGTACCTAAGTGCATCAATTTTACGTTCGCGTGAGTGGCACAAACACAATGTGCGTCCCAGTTCCACCTGCCAAAACACAATGTTTGGGTCTCAAAAAAGCAAACATTGATAATCCAATGTCACAATCACGGTGTTCCTCTGTAAACAACTTGTGAGTTTCACTGATATTGGATACGATTAGTAGTTTTTGAATGTGGACTCGTTTCCCGTCTTCAGTTCGAACGGATACGAAGTCTTTCATCCCTGGCATATTTGAACTCACTCTATCTTCATTATAAAATTCAATAACTCTTCGCTTTGTTTTCTCAGCAATAGAATGTTCTATAATTAAGTCATCGTACATTTTAGAAGAATCCAGTCCGATTGAATATAAAACATTAATTTGCATAAAAACATAAGGAAGCATACCTTTCTTTTTTGCAGGTATCGATGAAATCCCCTCCTCCTTAAACAACTGTCTGGCCTTCTTCTCTAGATACGATGATGATTTCATAATCTCTTGAATTTTTTCAACACTCCACTCTGGAGGGAGTATAGTGAGAATTTGAATCTTCTCTCCATTGCTCAATTGCTCCTGGTGAAATTTGTCGTTCAAACGCCAAATTACGTTCATCAAATAAATGGCATCTTGTGGAGAAATTTGATCGATAATTGCACCACCAAGCTTGCGTTTCAATGTTTGGCCTACTCTGAAAAATTTTGATCAAGCTAAGCATATGAAGATCGATTCAATTTTTTGAATGGGATCGGTGACTAATCAAGCATTCCTAATGCTTGATTAATTACTGGGAGGATTGTACCAATGTGTCTTTTTTCTGTCTGCATTGTCCGCGTTGATGATCATTGATGGTTAAACTCCACCTCCTCATCTGGGCGTCCGTCGCTCGTCGTAAGCTTTTCCGCATATTATGATTTTTTAGCCTCAGAGGATTGCAACAACGGTTGAATGCTTTTGATGGCATGATTAGAATAACTTATGTGATAGAATTAGATGTCTCGGTCAGAAGCACATCTCCACAGAAAAAAAAACAATCCAAGACTTTCACGAAATTCACTTATTTGGTCGTTGTATTGAGGAATAAATATTCTAATAGGGAACTATCTCGTAAATGACAGGTAAACTGTATCAACCTCAAAAAGAACTGGCGTCGTTCGAAAACAAATGAAATCAGCCACTGAGAGTATTTCCCCGAGCGTAGAAGGTGGAGGGGTATGACATGTAATATAAAATGGAGAATAAGCGCGGGAAAATTTAAAATCCTCAGAAAGATTTACATTCTCGATTACTTATGGCACGATTGCTGTATAGTTTGTCATAAAAATAACATTAAAGGAGATACAGTAATAATAATAATCTACAAACAGCTCAAGAGATCTTCAATGATAACTTCCATTTTTGATCAAGATTACAAGTATTTAATGTATCATCAATGTTTGGAACATTCAATATCAACATAGATTGAAAAATGGAGAAAAAAAACTGAAAGAAATCGGAATGAAATAGATCCAGACCGATTACCACTATGTGGTAGCACTTAAAAAAATTGTTTTTAGATTCCATTTTTTTTAATTTTTTCAAAAAAATCGAACGTGTCATGTTTGGCAAAATTTAAGTTTTTCCTTCATTTTTTCAGAATTTTGACGTTTAAGGCGTCAGGAAGCGAAAGGAAAAATATTAAAAAAATATATTCCGTAAGGCCATAAAGAGACGAAGATTTTCTTTTTTTGAAATTGGTTCAGTAGCATGGTAGTTATGCTAGAAAAACCAAAAAAACATGTAAAAAATCATACCTCTGCAGTGGATTATTTTAAAAATCTGAAAGAATTCAAGAGATAGTATTTCATGTACCTTTATCACTAAAAAAATCGCCATTCATTTTTGAAAAGGTCAGGGTCAATGACTGGTCGATTTGACATGGAATACCTCATATATATCCGTTCATAAAAAGTTTCCGAGATATTCCCGTTTTTCTTTTGCTTAAATAAATCACCGATTAATAAATCGGTTTTATATACCCGATAAGTTCAGGAAAAATGGGGATAGCAAGTTGAAATTCAGTGTGATTATAGCTCGCATAATACGGAACGTTGGTATTTTGTATGGACGCAATCGGTCGGGTAGTTTTGGAGATATTCAATTTTTTGTATGAATTCATTTGAGATAGAATTTTATTTCGACGTTCTTTGACCTTCAAATGATAAGTTATTTATCAATGGGGTTCGAAAATTATGGTAGGGGTGACTAAAATACCACAATAAACCAATACCTATGAGCGATTACGCAGTGTAAGTAAAGGCAAAGGAGTGATGGTTTCATGAAAACAGAATGAATGTGGTTGTGTATGCCTGTCTTAGGAATACTGAATTGATACGAAACCATTCGGAAGCTTAATACCAATGGTACGCTATCTATGTCGGTTGCATGGAATAATGCATTGATTTAATAAAATTTATGGAATTGCAACTCGATATAATTTCAATCATTTGTAATTCCTATTTGTACTGAAATATGTACTACTTTAATATCTAAATTAACTTCTGTAGTGTTTCGTTTAAAATTTTGCTTCATTAACTTCATTGTACCTTCTTTAAACATATGGTAAGTAATGAATAATATTTTTCAATTTCGTATTTCGATTCTTCTTTTTCTTTGTTTTGATATATGGAATACGTTAAATATATATGTCAAACAATTAAATTTGTTTCATCTCCTCATTTGTTCTGAACTTTCAATCATCTTTATGCAACGGAGGCTATTGATACACTAGAAACTAATCTATACGAATAATCCTATAATCCTTTTCTTTCTACTGAAATTCCCGCAACTTCTATTCCTTTCACGATAACTCTTTTGTTTTTGTACATTTTGTTTCATCTGCTCTATTCGTGCATTTTCAAGAGTAAGTGCTTCATCACACGCATGTTTATGGCACTCTCGCTGTCTTTCAGTAGCTTTTTTTTTACGGCCTCGGAGTCCCTTTTTGGGTCCCATTCGGCACTCTATCCAACCCTATGCATGCGGCTGTGGATAATACACTGTATCGCATTCGCACTCCTATAGAACATAGAAATAGCATGGGGAAACCATAGAAAACCCATGCCGGTACAGGCGGTTCCCCTATTAGCAATCTCCCGCTCGCCGGGGCCTTCCGTTGAAAAATTCGGTTCCACGGGGAATCGAACTCAAAACTTTTTTCTCGTGCCAATGATTTTCAGAGCCATGTTTTTCAGTATCCAATATACGTTTCTTTGTTCTATTGAATTGTTGTTGATAAGCAACAGTTTAACTGACTTTTGCTTCCGAATGGAAGCTTTGTAATCTTCCGATTTTCACATTCTCTAATTTTCATTGGAAATGATGAAGAATGGTCTGAAACATGAAAAGACGAAGTTTGGCGACCATGTCTGTATGTGAATGTGAATGAATATCTCCACCGCCACCTTCCCGATGGTCAATTTTTAGAAAATTGAGTAATTCAGTGGCTAAAATAATTCAAAAAAAATTTGAAATTTTGTCAGATTATAGGTCTTAATGAGGAATAACTCTGTGCACAATTTCAGCCCGATCGGTCCAGTAGTTTTTGAGATAAAGCGATTCGTTTTTAAATCGTTTTTCACGAATATCTAGCTCCGTCAAGCTGGGCAGCCAGGGTGCTCCGATCATCTCGGTCAGTAGCTCCAAATTACATGCTTTTCACATGCTTTTTTTCTGCACAAACCAAAAAAAAATCTGCACATTTTTTATGAGTGAAAAATCGATTTTGCGAATTTGGGCATCAATCTAGGCGGCCAATTCATCAGAATAGGCTAAAAAACCACACTATAATATCGTCCGATTTATAAGCTAATTATCTGCGATGGGCAAAATAAAAAAAAATCGATTTTTCCGGGAAAACCAATATGGCCTGGGAAATGAGGAGTATAAAGTTCATTGGATAGGACTTCTCTTGGGCCCAGAATAATCAGCTGTTTACAAGCTTTTTTTCTGCGCCATCAAAAAAAATTTGCTCCAAGATTTGGAGCGAAAAGTCGATTCCTCCCAATTGGACGAATACGTAGGCGGCCAGTTCATCATAATGGGCTGGGAAAACCATCCCACAGTATCCTCCGATTTATAAACTAATTATCTGCGTTGAAAAAAATATTAAAACTGCGATTTTTCCGGGAAAACCAATATGGCCTGGGAAATGAGGAGTATAAAGGTCATTGGATAGGACTTCTCTTCGGCCCAGAATAATCAGCTGTTTACAAGTTTTTTTTCTGCGCCACCAAAAAAAATTTGCTCCAAGATTTGGAGCGAAAAGTCGATTCCTCGTAATTGGACGAACACGTAGGCGGGCAATTCGTCATAATGGCTGAGAAAACCATCCCACAGTATCCTCCGATTTATAAGCTAATTATCTGCGTTGAGAAAAATAGAAAAAACTCGATTTTTCCGCGAAAACCAATATGGCCTGGGAAATGGGAAGTATCAAGGTCATTGGATAGGACTTCTCTTGGGCTCAGAATAATCAGCTGTTTACAAGCTTTTTTTTTGCGCCACCAAAAAAAATTTGCTCCAAGATTTGGAGCGAAAAGTCGATCCCTCGCATTTGGGCCAACACGTAAGAGGCGAATTCGTCAGAATGGGCTGGAAAACCATTCCACAGTATCCTTCGATTTATAAGCTAATTATCTGCGTTGAGAAAAATATTAAAAAATCGATTTTTCCGGGAAAACCAATATGGCCTGGGAAATGAGGAGTATAAAGGTCATTGGATAGGACTTCTCTTGGGCCCAGAATAATCAGCTGTTTACAAGTTTTTTTTCTGCGCCACCAAAAAAAATTTGCTCCAAGATTTGGAGCGAAAAGTCGATTCCTCGTAATTGGACGAACACGTAGGCGGGCAATTCGTCATAATGGCTGAGAAAACCATCCCACAGTATCCTCCGATTTATAAGCTAATTATCTGCGTTGAGAAAAATATTGAAAAATCGATTTTTTCGGGAAAACCAATATGGCCTGGGAAATGGGGAGTATCAAGGTCATTGGGCAAGACTTCTCTTGGGCCCAGAATAATAAGCTGTTTACAAGCTTTTTTTCTGTGCCACCAAAAAAAATTTGCTCCAAGATGTGGAGCGGAAAGTCGATTCCCCACAATTGGGCGAACATGTAAGTGGCCAATTCGTCAGAATACAAAAGAATCTAAAAGAATGGAAATTTTTTACTCACAGCAGTATTGTTCATCAAAAATTATATATAATATCAAAGCGAACTTTCCTTGGCACTCTATTATTTCTCGAAAAATTTGCACCGTCCCACAATGAAATTCAAATTTGAAATTATTCGTCTGTGAACTGCTTTACCCTGAATCTTGTAATACCAACACCAACGTGAAGTGGAACTCGTACTTCATACTGTTGATAACTTCACCCCAGAAACAGGAATCAAATAAACGAAATTAGATGTTGTTTCTAACACCTTATCAGGATGTTCGAATTCTCAAGGGGTCGTAACGCATTCGTGAAGTCTTAAGTCTTAAGGGTATATTTAAAAGTAATGGAATGTTTTCACTCAAGTATGAGATATTTTCACAGATTTGAACACAAATCGAGCAAATCGCGTCATTAAGAGGAAAAACGTAGAAATTTTCAAAACATGACATGCCACAATCGCTACATTATCGCTTATGACAATTCATGTACTTGACGGAACAGATAGTATGGAGTATCAATTTGAAGATCTCATCGAGATCTTCAAAATGACTTATGATAAATCCCCGCTGATCAAGTTCAAAGCCTCGCTAAATAGCAAAAACTGTCTTTTTTCAGGTGTGGCATAAGGTTAAAAATGGAAACGATCTGCAATAACTTGATGAAAATTGAAATAAGTGAGATTTATCAGACACCATTTTGAAGGATATGAAATACCCTTCAAAATGGTATATAAATATTTCTATCAAGTCCAGTTTGAAGTATCGAAAAATCCAACCAAAGTGAATTTTTTAAGTGAAACAGAAAAAGTGAATTTGCTCCTAAAACTCTCATAAGTCAATGAAAAATAGCCAGAATTGGACGAATCAGATGCCAATTTTAAGCTTATTTAATAAGCTTTTGAATGATCATACCGAATGTATGGTTTATGACATAGGGAGATGGACTTGAGCATAAAAACCAAAGAGAGAAGCCTGGTAAAATTCACGGATCTTCATCTTTTGGAAAATTATTATTCTGAGTTGATGAACAGTCAAATAGTACATAACAACGGTTCAGAATAATTATTTTTATACAGTATGAAGAAAGGGTAAAAATGAGTTGACCGAAAAAAAATACTTTATCTATGCTCACATTGAGATAATCAAAAAATATATATATTTTTATGTTATGGAATCTAACGAATATTTTGAAAACAAAGTTTAAATCGGATGAAAATGGTGGTGCGAAGATCAAAAGTCGCTCAATAGTTATTTTCTTTAACGAAAACTTTGAAATTTCACCCCTTTCATTCCTTCCCTCTAAAAATTGAGGACAATTTTTGTTCTCGTTTTATCGCTAATTTATACCCCACAGAGTAACATCCGAACCTTCTCTATTTACTACAATTTATTTTGAAAATATTAGCTGTAGATATATTGGTATCACTCCCCGCCCCTTTCCGCGTTCTTAGCACGAAAAAATAGGGGAGAACATTTTTTTTTGTTAAAAAAAATTAGGTCATTGCTAAATTATCCCTTAGAGGGCAAATTTCGAACCTCTTTTTTTCAATTCATTTAACATTGAGACAAGATCTTTTTTTTACTTTATTTATTCAAATGAAATCCTTTAGTTTTGTCAAAAGTTTGTCAAAAGTTTCAAACTTTTAACTTTACCTTAAGACTCAAGGGTGGTTCGCCTTTGGAGACCCAGAGAGAGGAATAGAGAAGACCAAGTAGAGAGAATACGACAAGACCAAGAACTACTTAGGTTACTGCCTCGGAAATCGACTCTCCTTGTGTAGTTTGACAGGTTGACAAATAAAATGACGAAAGTTAATTGACAAACAACACAAATATAATTCGATCAAAGTGAACTCCACACGGACTACAATTTTGATCAGGGTCAAAAGTTATGACGGTTTCAAAAGAACAAATAAACGGTTACAACGTTATCGCTGTATCGCCCGATACGAAAGTGACGTGCTTCGGCACGCTGGGGACTTGTTGAGTATGGCCCGTCAGCGAATCAATAATTCGGCGCAACTCCGTTGTCGAAATAGCGTTGGCGTCGCCCTAATTGGTGGGTCCCCTTTGGACGAATCTACTCTATAGGTACGGCCTATTTTGAGAATTTCAAATTAACCTAGGTTTTCCGAGGCTGACGTTGGGGAAAATAATCGTGTCACAACATTTCAACAACGGCATTTTTTGTATTAACTATGAAATACGCTCGCCCTATAATTTTTCATGTACTCGGCCCCAAACATTTTCATGTTCTCTCCTAGAATTTTTTTTGGGCTACGCGATATATTTTATGCATCACGAGATTTCGTTCCTCGATTATGGAGCAGCACCAGAATTTTTCTTAGAATTTCACTACAAAAATTCTCATATTTTTCTCTCCGTGTACAGTTTTTAAAATAATCAATTTTGAAGCGCATCATTCACATTTTCATGGGTCGATACATGATATCGATCCCGAACGTGAGGGATTATGGGAAAACTTTATCATCTTCATGCTCAAGTCTAGTAACGCTGCATTTCCTCCCATCCATACTCTCAATCGAATTCCCAAGAGTACCATTCCAGGTTTCGTTTCTGCCGAGGAACGTTTCACGACTTTCGTTCCTAGTGAGAAACGTTCCAGGCCTATCGTTCCGAGTTTCGTTTCGCTACTCATGCGTTCCTTACAACGAAATGAAAAAACGGCATTTTCGATCCGTTCCACAGTTTCGTTCCATATCCCTGATTTAAAAACTGGAGAAAAAAAAAATAATTTGTAAGTCTCAAAATGTATCTCATCATTGTACATGAATTAAAGAAAAAGTCATTTATAAAAGTTGTGTTATTCATTAATGAAAACCGTCGACATTTTTTCAGCTACGTGAAAGTTTCCGGAAAAATATATTCGTCTCCAAGTCAGCTCGAAAAGTATGATAGGTCGGTAATTTTTTCCTGCACTATACAATAATCGAAAACAATTCATCGAGCTCAAAATAAAAGAGACAAAACGGATTGTCCACTCTTTGCATTATCCAAGGTTCAAATACTTTGTTATCTCTTTGCAAAAAAAAATTTTTCAAAAGCGCAGTGTCTCTCCGGAGCATCAAGGAAGGTGCCTCCAATGTCCTGGAGAGCGACATCCGGACCCTCTTGGACACCGCACCTCATTTTCAACCCACTTCCCTTTTTCCATCCGCCATTCACTTTTCACATATCCCTCACTTTTCAGTTTTTCACCCACCAGCCACTTTCCACCCACCATCTCTTTCCACTCGACACACACTTTCCGCCTGCCAACCATTTCCCACCCACCACCCCTTTTTCATCTGCCACCCATTTTTCTTCCACCACCCTATTTTCACCCACCACCCACTTTCCGCCTACCGCCCATTTTAAACCCGCCACCCACTTTCCACACGCTACACACTTCCTGCGACCCTTGGGCACCAACTTTGAGACCCTGCCTCCCAGGGAGCCCGCCAGCGCACCCACGTCCATTCAAAAGATATCCCGCGGAGGATGGGAGAAGGGGGGACGTGTAAGTGCACTTCCTGGGAAAAGGGAGAGGGAGCGTAGGGAATTTCCCAATCTCGGCCACTTACTACTTGTAGACACGATTACTTTTTCTATAATGTAGACAATTCGATTGCCTACTTGATGACCATGGCAATTACCGTGTGTTAAAAAATTGTGTACCATTGGATGCATGTCTATTTTCGAAATGTTGAAAATCGTGTGTGTGCGATATTTTGGTGCCGACTTAACGCGAGTGCACAATTCAAATGAATAAAATCTGTTGTGGATTTATGTGACACCGCCAATGAGCTGTAATCTATCCGATAAATTATTTCGTATTGAGTTCTAATTAAGGAAAACGCGTAGAAAAACTGCGGAGTTCATCAATAGAATCGAGGAAAAATAAATGGATATTTGATGAAGTCAAACAGAAATCCAATCGAATTTTCTAACAAAGGCGCTGAGTTTCTCTATGAATCGTGGATGTATTTGTAGCGATATGAAATCTACGGCTCGTAATCAGAATGATATGACTGAAGGAAAATGTAAATTTATAATTTGAAATAATAGAGGGAACGTGATTCCTTACCAGACTCATTGAAGTCAATGCTGGCATCCCTCTTAAGGAATTCTGATTGTTTCTCATCTCCAAAATCTAATACGAGTATCTCTTGAGAAAGTGTCATATCCTCCGATTTCTCTTCAGTTCCATTCGAAATGCTTCGTCGCTTCCTTTTTCCCCAAGACTCAGTAGCTTCACGACCCCATTCACAAACAGCCTAAAATCAACATACGAACAGAAACAATATGTATCATTTTATGTCATTAGACCCGATAAACCGGGATCTAACCGAGCGAAGCGAGGTTAAAATCGCGGTTTTCGGGCCCAACGACGTAAAATATCGTATGTCACACGGCGATAAAAGCATTATCTGGCGAATGTGGGTTTATAATCCGAGCCTAAGGCCCGCCTGTCGGAAAATAGACATCCAATGGTACATAATTTTTTAACACACGGTAATTGCCATGGTCATCAAGTAGGCAATCGAATTGTCTACATTATAAAAAAGGCCCGCCTTCGCCTCGGATTATAAACCCACATTGGCCAGATAATACTTTTATCGCCTGATGACATAATATACTAATTATGTCGCGCCGTGCAATAAGTCCAGTTTATCGCACGCTGCGCTTCGCGCAGCCTGCTCAAAACTCGACTTCTGCACGACTTGACATAAAATATTATAGAGCACTCGGTAATGAATTTCGTTTTCAACGAATGTGTGTACAGACCTCACCTTCGGCTCGGCCTGTAAACTACACATTCGTTGAAAACGAAATTTGTGCCCTTGTACTCTAATGTACTATTGTGAAACTGGAAGAAACAAAAGAAAAAATTTCGAGGCCCATTCGCATACCGGTTCACAGGGGCCAAGACAGTACTTGACGTTACACTGGAATATAACACCATAAGATTCAGTGAACCTAAAAGCTTCATAAACAGATTGCAGAGCATTGCCATCGGGTGTAAAACTTGGGAAAATTGAAGGATCCACTGGGCACCTGGTGAAGTCGAGAATTTTTAGTTTTGCATTGAATACTAATTAATACTCAATAGAATAAAAGGAGGTGAATTTGTTTTTATATTTATCCTTACCCTTCATCGTCGATGATTTGAAACGTGCTTTTAGAGTCTTTGGCCATCGCCACGCAGCTACGAGCGAAAATTCCATATGGAGCTGTTGGGAGAAATAATTCATAAATGCATGTATCCACAACAATATAATCATAGTAGCCAGCAGTATATTAGAGCACTAGAATACAAATGTCGTTTTTAAAGAATGTGAAATTCATGACATTTATGTTCGAGTGGTCTATAATATATTTTATGTTGTTAAGCCCGAAAAAACCGCGATTCTAACCTCGCTTCGCTCGGCTAGATCACGGTTTTCGGGCCCGACGACATGAAATATCGTATGTCACACGGCGATAAAAGACTCGCCGTCGGCTCGGATTATAATGCCCCATTTGCCAGATAATACTTTTATCCCCTGATGACATAATATACTAATATCACTCCGTACAGAAATTGAGTTTTCGTTAGCAACAAGTCAATGACCAGTATTTTACTATGCACTGTAGAAAATCAGGATTTTCAGTCAATGACTCAACCCTAATTTCAACTCATATTTCATAATTTTTTCAAAGTACGATAATGTGCAATCACTTCTTCTTCTTGGATTCAAAGATATATCAAAATTTGGTTGAAATCTCAGTCTTGGCGCATAAAGATTGTTTGGCAAATTGATAAATGAGACAAGCCAAACCAAACATAAACCTACATAAAATGAAGAAATGAAGGAAATTAAGTTCTTGACCGTTATGATGTATTTATAATAGTTCTGGGTTATCTTTAGTTCAACGAAGGACCATGTTCTAATTGATAACCACGTATCTTTTGTTTATAAAATTCCTTATGGAAATTTTGAAAAATGCTACATTGGAGATACCAAGAGGTACTTTAGCGATGGAAAAAGCGAACATGCCAATAACGAGAAGAATCCTAACAAATATAATTCTGACCCGGCCAGCCATGTTAAATTGGCCAAACACAAATTTGATTTTAGCTATTCAAAGATTCTTGATATCGAAATGATTACTCATAAAAGAAATATTTGAGAAATGATGTATGTTCCTAAATTCAATAACTATACTATGAATTTTATTAATGATAGTGCAAAAAATGACCTAGAACTGCAATAAACATCCATACAGAAATATTTCGAGTATTATTTTTGAATATCTCTTCTAAACGAAACATACAAAGTACTATTCGCTAGTCTGGGATGTGAAATATGAACCAAAGGAATAAAATTGAACAAAACTCACTGTCTTCCGGGATTTCAATACGGAAAGTAAGCTTATCTCCAATTCTCACAGTTTCAACTTCACGTGCCCGATTATCGAGAATGCGAATTCTTGGTGGTGGCGCCTCTGGAGCACTGGTGATGCTAATCATATCTGGGTCCCTGATGGGCATCATCCCGAATGTAATGTTCTTGGAGGACATGTCGTAGGTACACTTTACTTTGTATATTTTATCAGCCTTGGTCATCACCACGGAGTGATGCTGCAAAACCACTGTATTCGAATAAACGCCAGTCTGAAAAAATCATGTTGTAGTTAAACCCGAGATTCTTTTCTAAGAAACTGCAGATACCCCGAATATAATTTCAAGTAAGACATTTCCACATTAAATCATTGCACTGCCTACTTGATATCCACTACCTACTTGAGGAATCCTTTGGATGAAAATTCCAAGGAAAAATGACTGAGGTGAGTAAATTTCGGAATTTAACTCTCTAGTACGAGGAAGGGCACGGAATGTGTGATCGTAGCTGCCGGATCCAATTAGCTCAGTCACAATAGCTTGAATATTGTAAGCGTTTGCCCGTTTGTACCGGGCGTAGGACTTTTATGACCCCCGTAGAGGGAGCCTCATCGACTGACCTGGGAAGGAGTGGGGGTAGTGTGACATTCCGGAGAGTGTGGTAAAAAGGAAACTTCTGGAATATGTATTTTGTTACTTGAAAACCTTTTCAAGTTGAAACTCCAAGTTAAGAAAAATTATCAATCGTACTTACTGTGAGGAAATTAAAGTTCATATATGTGAACATTTTTTTTTTGTAACTAAAACAAATATATGTGACGTATTGAGATCGATCAATACGTCGATTTATTTAATAATTATAATTATTATGCCCAAAGTGGTGGACAATGGGAACGGGCAACGAGGTTTCTCATTCCCTTCATCCAAAGATTGCTCAGCAGTCCCACGGTGTCCCATGGACACCAGCGTAAGCAGTTCCACGGTTTCTACAGGTCCAGTTCAGGGTGCTGAAGTGTTTGATTGTGTAGGTTTCTATACAAACGAATGCACGAAACCGTATTAGTGAAGAAAACCGTGGGATTGCTTAGGTAAGCATTTTGGGACTTTGACGAGTTTGGACGACTCGGGAAGCACCAGAGTACGTCAGAGTACGATCAGGAGCGAAACAGAGCGGATCTCTGAGCTCAGGCCTTCAGCCATCCAATAACAAAGTCGAGTCAAGGTCCCAAAGTCGAGTTAAGAACCGCGTTATACCAACCCATTAAACACTACCGTGTATAAATTAAAGTTAATATATAGTTATGTTACCAACATCAGTACGGTCGGTTTAATATCGTTACCCCTCCCTCTATCCTTCACTTATCCCTCCGATTGAGCGAACCACCCGTGAGCTCACCGAGACTAGCCGAGGTCGGAGTGAAACAAAGTTAAAAGAGTTAAAAAGGAATAAATAAACTCATAACGTCACATTGGCGCCCGACGTGGTTTTGGGCACTCATTCGGGGAAGCGAGTGCAAAAACAAGGATTACAGTGACTCAAAGGATTAAAAGTGAAAATTATGTGATGTTAACAAAAAAGTGAAGGATTGCAGTGAATAATTAAGGTATACGCGTGTGCTGAAGAAGAAAAAAAAACCCGACGGTCAAGGAAAAGGCAGACGTCTCAATCTCCCGTTGCAACTGCACTCGATAGAAGGAAGATTAGAGAAATCTCGCATTGCCAGAGCGAGCGGAAGAATCCAAAGAAGTCAAAACTTCACCCGAGGACAGCTCGACGAGCCCATGGACATCGGCAGTAGTGTGAGAACCAGAGACAACTAGCTGAGTACAGGAGCAGTGACAACGAGCAGAGACAACTAACAGAAAAGTGCTAGCAGAGACAACTAGCAGAAAAGTGCTAGCAGAGACAACNGAGACAACTAGCAGAAAAGTACTAGCAGAGACAACTAGCAGAAAAGTGTTAGCAGAGACAACTCGCCAAAAAGCTAGTAACCGGGGACAACCAGCAGAGACGCAACGCGCAGAGACAACGAACGCGATTAAAACACCAACGAGAGGAAGGAGGATGCAATTGTAGCTCTTATTCGCCGTTTTTGGGTCTACGTAAGTACACAAACAGCCTTAAAATTCCACCCACGCGTTCAGAGCGATCGTTGACCAATCGAAATAATCGACGAGATAGACGGAACGACGACTCGAGACCGTACCTCTCAAGATTAGAATTAATTAGGATAAATATGGACGGCATACAAGACGCGAGAACAGGGGTACCGCCGGTAGCCGTGACCCCCGCGACAATAACAAGCGAGGCACCGTCAGCCTCGAGTACAACGAACACTACCGTGACGTACACGAGTACCAGTGCGATAATGAGCGCGAGTTCAGGAAATACCTCCCAACCACCCTTAAATAATCCACAGACACCGGGAATATTCTCAAACGTTAGCATGTCAAACTACGGATTAGGGCAATCGACCTCAATGTATGGGGGAAATCCAGAATACAGTAGAGTAAATTTGGGATTGGGACAAAATAACTCAGCGTCCGGCATACATTATGGGATGGGACGATCAGAATTAGGCGCGACACACGCATTTGGTACAGACTACGGATTCGCCAGGCAAGGAATGGGATTCGGAAGTCCGACGTCAGGGTCGAATCTAGGATTTGCAGGGTCGAATCTAGGATTTGCAGGGTCGAATCTGGGATTTGCAGGGTCAAATCTGGGAGTTGCCAGGTTAAATCTCGGTCTTGGCAGCTTAAACGCAACACAGGGAATGAATGCCGGAACCGTAAACCCGAATAATAATTTTGGAGGCGGGAACACAAGACCGGAATTAAATCTGGGCATTGAAAGACAGGGATATGGACCAGGAATGGGATGTAATCCAAGATTAGAAATTTTTTATGGAGAGGATCAAAGAGTGAGAAATGCCATTAGACCACTGCCGAAATACGAAGTTGGGGACGATGTTGAAAGGTTCATTACCAGTTTAAATATGTCACGTCGACTTTTGAAACCGGGAGATGAATTCAATTTTTTCCATCAAATACTACCAAAATTCGGCCCCAAGGCAAGATTGGCAGTGGAGAGCGCATTAACTAGCATCTATTCACTCGATGATCTTATCCTGAAGCTTCGTCTTTCATTTGGAACTAGAGAAAATGTACGTCAAATTCTCGCAAAAATGTCACGGTTATATCAGCAATACGGGGAATCAGTAACCGACTATGAAGCGCGTTTCAGGGCTCTCCAATTAAAAGCACAGAGTCGACTTGACACGGACCCGACGGCTGATTACGGTATTACCATTCATGGCATAAAACTGAACATGAGGGAAGCATTCCTCGCAGGACTCAGAAGAGACATCAAGAACATGATGTTCCCTCTGACACCTACCTCTTTTGACGAAGCCGTCGGCGTTGCAGTGACAATCGAATCCAAATTAAAAGAGACCGAAGATTTCGAACAACTCAGAAAATTGCACGCAAAAACAAAGCAGTTTCAAGGGCAAGCGAAAATTAGAGCAACAGAATCAATCGATGACGACGCCCTTGAAGCTGATTTGAGGGCATTGAACATTAAAGCCACAAATTCAGCCAAAGCCGACGGGCAGAGACGCGGTTTTCAGAGCGGTAAAGGCAACTCAGATTATGTAATGATGATGTAAATCTAGTGAGACTGGATAAACTCAGCTCGAAAGTAACTATAAATCGCGAAGAAATAATAATAATTAAAGGGGTTACACCGGGGAAATTGAAGACGGTTGGATACGTAACTCTGGACGCAGAGGGAGTCGAGGACAAATTCCATGTCGTCGACTCAGATTTTCCCCTTATAGAAGATGGAATGCTGGGCAGGCCATTTCTAAAAAGTAGGGCAGTCAAAATCGACTATGGGGAAGATACGTTGACTATAGGGGAAGGAATACATACGTTTGTAAACACGGAGTCAATTCCTCTTCCGCCTAGGACAGTCAAATTAATATACGTCAGAGTAAATAAATTCGACGCTGAGGTCGGATACCTCCCGCGAAGGGACATCAAAACAGGAGTGTACTTCGGGGATGCGATAGTAAGGCCTAAAGATGGTGTAGCTTTCATGTACGTCTACAATACCCGTGAAACCGAAGAGCGATTTAGAGTTCCATTTGTTGACCTGGAAAAGATAGAGTCAATCGCAACAGAGGCGGAAATTAAAGCATTTGGGGAAACAGAGAGTTCAGACGATCAACAGCGCGAAATTAGAGCCAATAAAATTATTGAAGTCCTCAAATTGGAGGGTCTCGATGAAGAAGAGCAGGAAGAGGTAAAAGACCTTGTCCGATACAATCCGTAGGTCTATAAACTTGATGAGGAGAAATTGAAAGAGGCAAAAATACCAGGGTATCCTATTAAATTAAAAGATGATGACCCGGTGGTAGTGAGACAATTTCGCCTGCCCTTCCACATTCGAGATAAATTTAAAGAGCAAATAGATAAAATGTTAGAAGCAGGTATCATTGAACCCTCTGACTCACCATATAACTCTCCAGCATGGATGGTAACAAAAAAACCAGGCGCCGACGGAGAGAAAAGATGGCGCATGGGTGTCGATTTTCGTAAACTAAACGAAAAAATGGTCGCGGACGCGTACCCTTTACCCAACATAACGGATATTCTAGATCAATTGGGGGGAATGAGGTATTTTTCGACGTTTGATCTGGTGTCGGGTTTCCACCAAATTCCATTGGCACCCGAAAGCCGCCCCAAAACTGCGTTCTCAGCACCAGGGGGGCATTATCATTACTCAAGAATTCCAATGGGAATCGCGAATGGTCCACCAGCCTTTCAAAGGTCAATGGATGTAGTTCTCTCAGGTTTACAGGGTGCAGGACTATTTGTATATATGGATGATATCGTAGTCTATGGCAAAACACTAGAGGATCATAGAAAAAAATACAAATCCTTTGTTGATAGACTCCACAAAGTGCAAATGAGCCTGCAGCCTTCTAAGTGTGAATTCCTGAGGGAAGAAGCCACCTTCTTAGGACATTGCGTGAGCGAGGAAGGGATAAAGCCCAACCCCAAAACAATCGACCCCATTTTAAAATATCGGAGGCCAAAAGACAAAAAGGGCATTAGACAATTTCTTGGTCTGGCCGGCTATTACCGAAAATTCATCGAAAATTTCGCGACGAAAGCACGCCCCCTAAACGGACTTTTGAAGGAGGATGTGTCTTTTGAATGGGGGGAAAGCTAGGAAAACGCTTTCGAGTCGATGAGATGGGAAA